AGATCTTGCCTCTAAAGGAATTTTGCATGGAAGGCGGGTAAAATTTTCAGTAAGCTGATGTCAGAGTCTGGATAATTATGCAAAGAAACCTGCCAGAATGTATTTTAGCTAAAGGGGGTAAAACTAGCTTCTGGTGCCAAGGGCTTACTCTCTTATTCCACAGTCGAACATCACATGGATTGAAAAAGATATTTTTGTCTCTCGGTGTTATTCAAGTACAGTTTTTACTAAGTATCAAAGAGGATCAAATGTTTGCTTCTCCAAGTATTTCAAACAAACCAAATACTATTTTTCCTCAAATTAACAATCACATGACCATCAGTGATTACAGTTTTCATTCACAGAGTTGTTTTTTTTTTCATGAAGATGGCAAATCCTGCTTTCAAACTTTATTTTTAAGGCTGATAAGCTTGTCGCATATCTGTGAAAATACATGCTTGAACAAAAAGCAATAAAATAACAAAAAGCACCGTTAATTTAAACAATCTTTGTGATCTGTTGATTTCCATCACATTACGTAGAGGGATTTCAGCATAAAGGCAATAGTTTACAGTACATTTCAATCTAGTGCTTAGTTAACACAAGGTTACAAAATGAATGCTTATTAAACAGTTTCAGGTAAAGCCCAGCGGGAGGCAGTATAAGGCTGGCCCTTCAATCCACATAGCCACTGTTTTTATATATATTTTTTTATCTGTCCAGAAGCGGTTGCAGTGAAAGGTCATAGTGCTCACAGGACAGGAAGGCCCTCCCCCATAGGCCAGTGCTCTTCCTGTTCTCCTCTCTGAGACACCTGAGCAGCATAATGTGGCTCAGGCCCTTTTTTTTTTTAGATGGTGTCATCTAAATGCTCGTGCAGCCTTTCTCCTCGGTTATTGTGCCTGTACCTCCTGAAAAGAAACCAAGTGTTCAATTTAGTGCAGCAACAGTGACAAACTGCACACTGGCTCGAGTAAAAATGACAATTGTTTTGTCAGCAGACGCAGGCTGGCCTGTCACGCCTCATGTTTGCAGAGTATTGTGTGGGAGGACACCGTGTCACATTTTGCTGTTTCATTCTGTACCATCACCTTTTTTTTTCTTTTTCCTTGTCGTTTTCTAAAGCATCTACTACCAGTGTCTTATTTTCTCGCTGCATATGGCTTTATCAACTGAGCATAGCCTGAAATGAGATTTGTGCTTGTGTCTGCCAGTGACTGTGTGCTTTACCGTACCTCCACAGCAGAAATGCGAGCACTCCTCCTAGACTCAGCAGGAGCAGGAGACAGACTACAGCTGCCGTCGCACTTCTGTTTTCGGTCTCACAAGGTGCTGTCAACCAGGAAAAAACAGCCGATGAGAGGAGGAACAAAGAAAAACAAACCCAAAGAGACAAAAAAAAACCAGAGGTCATCTGACATGGCTGTTCTTAGAGGGCAAAGAGGTCCCCTGCAACAACTCCACACAGTCACTAAACTGACTGGAACACCAAGGGATAACAGGAGGCATCCTAAAATACCCTGACTGTCGCTGGATCATCATGCCTCTTGGCAGATACGAGGAATTGCATTTGTCTTGCCTGTTTAGCAGCAGTGGTAGCGGCAGTGGCAGTAGTGTTGGTAGTGATTTATTGATTGCACTCTGGAAAATCCTTTATCACTGAAACACCACCGGTGATACAATACACAGAACAGAACAGAAGCGCAATCAGGACACAGCTTCAATAGACACAATGCATTATGTACAGGAGTCCGATTCCTGAATATCCATGACACAGCACGGTGG